CTATTTTATGGTATATGTTCACAAAAAATTAATGTCCAAAAAGTATTATACAAGATTGAGCCCTGTTTTTTTTTTTTTTACTTTCTCAACATATAGATTTTTTTAACTCAAAGTGTAAATGTAAAATGATATATTATTTCTTGGTATTACTCACTATTAGATTTCATATACTCCGTATAACATGTTTATAAAAGTGATTTTTTAAAACTTAATCAACTTTTTCTTTGCAACAAAATAGTTATCTAATATACTTTCACATTTTCACGTACTAGACCGCCCTTTTCATGCCTCGAGTTACACATTTTCACGTCTTTGACAATCAACTCTCCCATTGAACGCTTTTTCCCCACCTTTCTTGGACGTTTTTCCGGTGGCCTAGTGCTTCCTACTCTACGCATTTTAGAGTAGTGGTATTGACTCTTAACTATATGATGCTCAGCTCTACAAGATAAAGAAAAAAATACCTTTATCAATCATAGCAAATAAAGGAGGGGAAAATTATCACAACTAAGTAATCATTACGAAGTATTATAAATATACATGTACACGTTATAGTCATAATTATATGTGCATGAGTGCATATAGTTCTTTCATTGTTCTAATAATCGGTCTATTCGAATTGATTAATCGCTCTAATCGGTCTAGTTGGCCCTAATTATAGAGGTCTTTTCGGCCAAAAAATCAGTCTAGTCGACAAAATAAATGAACCTAGTCGGCTGCCTAGGCGCTAGGCGCCCCTCAACCGTCCAACAAGCGCCTAGCGAGTTTTAGAACAATGTATTTCTTATATGCATATTCAAATTATTTTATCATATACTCTGTAATTTTTACAAATTATGGTAACTTTTTCATTTACTAAACAAAATTACTCCGTATATTTTTATATTGAGGAGAAAACAAGTTATGATGTTTTCTTTTGGATTGTTTTTAGTCACAAATTAGAATAAACCAGACTAGATCAGATAAGATCATATCATACTTGTACAATTATAAAATACACAGAGATCAGACATTTACCAGACCAAACTAAACCCGTTCAGATCAGATCAGATCAGATCAGACCAGACTTAAACAGACCAAACCAGATTAGACAAAACTAGACCAGACCAACAAATTTCAGTCCAAAAGAAAACACTCTTAATGCATATTTTTTTGTCAATCAATAAGTTAATCAACTTTATATCCTTGAATAACGCATAGATTAAACTAACTATAAAATGTATTTGTTTCTTAGTAAATTTGTAAAAGACGCTAAGCGCTATTCGGGCGCCAACCCAATGTCTAGCACTTAGGCGGCTAGCTAGGCAGGCGGCTAGCTAGGTAGGCGGCTAGGCAGAGACTAATCAGAGACATATAAATTATATTTTTACTAATATTTTGCATAAATATGATAAGTAATATTAACATGCATGAATGATAGAATTGTCACATTCAATAATAAATATATACAAAATTGTATACTTTTTGAGTGAATGATCTAAATAGGAGTAAAACATCGTTAAAAATCTTAAACAGGACTACATTGTTTTAAATTTCCAAAATAGGACTAATCATGTGTGTTTGGACAAATATACTCATGTAGCTTTTTGGAGTCCCCAGCCCAACCAACACCGCAGACCACCAGCCATCGCCCTGCTGCCTCACCTGCCACATCCATCGCCCACCAGAATACGTCCAAATTTTCCAAATTGGGTTTTCTACCAATTTCACGCCGCGAAACTCGCCAAAGCTCCACCGCCACTGCCAGATTAATGCCCTTTCACTGTCGTACTGCCCCCGCCACCAACAGACTGCCCCGGTTGTCCAAGTAAATTAGGGTCAATTAATTCATTAATTTATTAAATTAGGGGTATTGAGGGTATAAAATTAATGTTTGGATAGAAACTTGCATAAATATGATAAGTAATATTAACATGCACGAATGATAGAATTGTCACATTCAATAATAAATATATACAAAATTGTATACTTTTTGAGTGAATGATCTAAATAGGAGTAAAACATCGTTAAAAATCTTAAACAGGACTACAATGTTTTAAATTTCCAAAATAGGACTAATCATGTGTGTTTGGACAAATATACTCATGTAGCTTTTTGGAGTCCCCAGCCCAACCAACACCGCAGCCCACCAGCCATCGCCCTGCTGCCTCACCTGCCACATCCATCGCCCACCAGAATACGTCCAAATTTTCCAAATTGGGTTTTCTACCAATTTCACGCCGCGAAACTCGCCAAAGCTCCACCGCCACTGCCAGATTAATGCCCTTTCACTGTCGTACTGCCCCCGCCACCAACAGACTGCCCCGGTTGTCCAAGTAAATTAGGGTCAATTAATTCATTAATTTATTAAATTAGGGGTATTGAGGGTATAAAATTAATGTTTATTCCAATTTATAAAAGATTTAGGTTTTACTCCTATTTGTGTAATTATGTTTCCGTTTAGTTCTATTTAGGGTAATTATTAATATATGATTGTTTATAAGTAGAGTTAATCTATACGTAGTTTTTAGAGTTAAAGGTACATACATGTTTTTTAATGTTAATCTATAAGTAGTTTTCTTCATGTGTGGTTATGTTAGAGTTAAAGGTACATATAGGTCTTAGAAAAATAAAATAAAATAAAATAAAAACAAAGTATTTCGCGAATCTAGACACCCTAGACAGTCGATTAAGCGCATTGGGTGGGAAGACAAGTAGACGCCCTATGCGATCCACTAATTCACCTAGGCGTCAAACTAATAAGTTGGGGGTGCCTAGACAAATATCGGGACGCCTGACCACCGGCCTCACGCCAAGTTGTTTTCATCGTAATTTCATTTATAAGGGTCTCATACTTTCACAGTTTTTTATCACTATAAGGAGGGATCAGTCTTAACCTAGCATATAATAAAGAGATAAAGCACAATCTTAACCTAGCTTCTAATAAAGCACAGAGAGACAAGTTCCACATCAGCCATACTAAAAATCGCGTCAAAATTTGAATGGACTGACTATGACTTTTTTTTATAAGAAAGAAGTGCAAACGTTTTAATTTATTTCATTATATTCCCAAGCAAAAAGATAGCGAGTCCTTAATTCCGTTGCTAGGGAAAGTCATAATTTCTCCACAATGTGAATCCATCCGCGGCCAATTTGGTAAAATCTTGTGGAAGACGCCCAAACCATTTAAAAGTATGACAGTTCTCCGCCACCCGCTTGATGGAGCTGATGAAAAACTGGAAAAAGCCTAACTGGTCTCACACGCATCTGAGTGTTCATTGGGAGGTAGGTGGACAACCCGGAGAGGGAGAGGTCAACCAGTTGGTGGACTAGTGGGTTGGAATCAACTAACTAATTACATGAGTTTATGATCGAATCATGAATGAATGAATGATTTCAAATTATCATGAATCATTTTGAACTTTCTTCAATTCTGTGTGTCTTTTTCTGGCAAGTAGCAACAAAGTCACACTATAAAAGTACAACGAAATGAACACCCAAATTAAAGTCATGATTTCTCATTATATACAGTCAACTGTCGAGTCTTTTTCCGAACTCCGGTGAAATTTTGAAACGTTATTCACATCATTATGCATAAAAATGCGTGGATATATTGAAAAGATCGTGTCTTTCTCTAATGTTACAAGAATATAAGTTTCAACCTTTTAGGAAAAGTAAACAAATAATTAAACCATTACTACAAGAATGTTATCACTTATCAGTACTGTTACCTCTTTTTAAATTTATGATGAATATAGTAAAGTACGTCATTACACTTGATTAATGTGAGGATGGAACGTATCAATGTGTGTTACATGTCATATTTGTGCTTATTACTTTTTATTATTCGTTATATATTTATCGGTAATAATCAATCCCCGCCCCCCGCCCCCGGCCCGATCACCACAATTTTATTGTATTTTGATGTCGTTTAATAGAACTTTGAAGATAGTAATTTGTAAATATGCTCCTTATGTATTTAAGAAAGAGGAGTTAAATTTATTCTATTAATGGTTAATTAATTATGAAAAATCTAAAAATGAAGTTTTCTTAAAATATTTTTGAAATAAAAATTATGGATAAATATGTGACTATAAATGTACATCCATAGTCACTAAAAGTTATGACTATAGTGATTATATATACTTGATAAATAGTAATTTTTTAATCTACTATCCTTATCTTAGCTTAGTCATATACTCCGTATTAATCAGTACTTCATGCTATCTAAGTTCTTCATGAATATCTGTCACCTTAGATTTTGAAGGTATATTCATAAAAGTATTAGCGGATAGTGATTAAAGTTGAAAAAGTATGAAAGAAATAAATGAAGAAAAAACAGGAAAAAGAATAAAAACAGGAAAAGGAAGAATAAGAAATGGAAAAATTATAGAATAAAAAGACAAAAAGTAGGGTAAGAGATTCCAAATATGAAAATATATGGAAATTGGATAAATAGTACTCCGTACTCCCTAGAAAACTTCCAAAAATGAGTAAATGCTAATTAAAAAGAAAATACGTAAATCACAAATTCTTTGGGATAAAAGGAAATTGAAATTTATTTTGACTCTAAAATACAAGATAGCACGAAAATAATTTTGATGCAAGTTGATAATAAAATACGAAGTATGTATTAAATAAAAATAGTTAAAATGGGGATGATGCAGGGGAATATCTATGTACGAGCTATGATAGGCTGAAGTCCAGGTCAACCAAGATTTTTTTGATTTTTTTTAGTATAAATTATTTCATTTTTCAGCCCTCTAACATTTAAGCCTAATATAATTCTTGTTCAACCCCAGCATCTCAGAATCCTGGATACGCCCCTAGGATGATAAAAAAAAATAGTTAAAATGGGGGACGACTGCCACCATTAGAGGCATGCATCTACCCGGATCCACACATATATACAATCACAATCATTTTGCTATGTATGCATTTTTTTTAGTGTAAGAATTAAGTTTAATCGATGACTATTAAGGATTTAAGGACCACTTTTATTTCCAAAAAAGACAAAGGTCAGTTACTCCACTGGCTTCCATTATCAACCTTTCTGCTCCACACTCCTATAAAAGGATAATGCTGAATCAAAACAATTCATAGACTATAGTACTATACCACTAATTATCCTCTTGTTTTGTCTAGCACATAACAAAGAAAATGAAGCAACCAAAAAATCCCAACCCTCTCACAACACTATGTCTCCTTATCATTCTCTTCTCACTCACAATTTCTTCCATCCATGCAATGGCGCCTAAAAGGCCATACAAGCCATGCAAGGAGCTCGTGCTCTTCTTCCACGACGTAATCTACAACGGCCAAAACGCCGCCAACGCCACGTCGGCCATCGTCGGGGCGCCCGAGGGCGCGAACCGAACCATCCTCGCCGACCAGTTCCACTTCGGCGACGTCGTCGTCTTCGACGACCCGATCACTCTGGACAACAACTTCCACTCCCCGCCGGTGGGAAGGGCGCAAGGGATGTACATATACGATACTAAGAATACTTTCACGTCTTGGCTGGCTTTTTCTTTCGCGCTGAATCATACCGGCTTATATCAAGGGACGATCAGCTTTGTCGGCGTTGACCCAATTTTGGTCAAGGCGAGGGAAATTTCGGTGGTCGGCGGCACCGGCGACTTCTTCATGCACCGCGGCGTCGCCACCATCATGACCGACGCATTCGAAGGGTCGGTTTATTTCCGGCTTCGCGTCGATATCAAGTTTTACGAGTGCTGGTGATCAAAATCATATACTCTACATTATATTCTCCGGTAGTAATATGTTTTGGGTCAACGGTTTTCTCAAATAATGGTCAAATACTATAAATAACTGGGTAATTAGTGTACCGAATAGACGAATAGTATATCATTTCTCTCTTTGCTTGTTTTGGAAGAAGGTAACCTTCTTGGGTCAATAAAATGGACGTTTTACCCGCCCTGTGCCCTGTGGTGTCCTCGATCTCTTATTTGTCTTTTTTTTTTTTTAAATTAAAGAATCTCTTATTTGTCTTTTATTTCCCATATATAATCCATCCATCTCATTTTATTTAGTTTTATTTTTCTTTTCGATTTATCCTAAAATAAGGTTTTACTCCTTTAATAGAAAGATAATATGTGTACATATGTTCAGCAACATTTCATTATATCATATTGTAAAATATCGGAAGAAGATATGGAGAATTTTCGTTTATTCTTGCTTGTTCACAAAACGGAGATCAAGTCTCCATATATACAAAACGCATGCTCCAGTTCTTCCCAAGAACGTAGCTGCCCATGCGTGACTTAAGGAGAAAGAAAAGGAAAGTAAATCAATCAAATACAACATTCCTATTCTACATTAACTACTACGTACAACGCACAGAACGTAACAAAAAAATATGTACATAAAATTGAAAATAATGTGACTCAACACCCCCCCTCAAGATGGAGCATGGGGGTCATAAATGCCCATCTTGCCAAGTAGATAAGAAAACTGATGAGCTCCAAGGGCCTTTGTAAGCAAGTCTGCAGGTTGTTCCGTGGTAGGTGTGTAAGTTGAAGTAACAGTACCAGCTTGAATATGATCTCGTATAAAATGACAATCCAGCTCAATGTGTTTGGTTCGCTCATGATAGACCGGGTTAGAAGCAATATGTAGTGCGGCCTGATTATCACAGTAGAGCCGAGCCGGACTGGTGTGATTAACTCCTAGCGAGCGAAGGAGATTTCGGAGCCAAATAAGTTCACACGTCAAGGAGGCCATGGATCTGTACTCTGCCTCTGCAGATGAGCGGGAGACTGTGGCCTGTTTCTTGGTGCGCCACGACACTGGAGAGAAACCCAGAGATACAAAATAACCAGTAACAGACCGACGTGTAGTCGGGCAGCTAGCCCAATCAGCATCACAGTATCCGTGGAGAGAGAGAGAGAGGTGAGTAAGACCTCAACAAGATGCCCTGCCTAGGCTGGCCTTTAAGGTATCTGAGAACCCGAAGTATAGCTTCCCAATGAGCCACTCTGGGTTTTTGCATAAACTGTGAAAGAATATGAACAGAGTAACAAATATCTGGCCTGGTTAGTGTTAAATAAATCAGCTTCCCGACTAGTCGTCGATAGCGCTCAGGATCAAGAAAATAGGAACTAAAATCGGACTGGAGATGATGATTTTGCACCATAGGAAAGGTAACCGGTTTGCATCCGGTCAGCCCTGTTTCAGCTAGAATATCAAGCACATATTTCCGTTGACACAGAAAAATTCCTGTAGGATTTCGGGCGACCTCAATTCCAAGAAAATATTTCATCACGCCCAAATCCTTAACAGGGAAAATGGCGGCAAGATATGTTTTGAATTGCTCAACCATTGTGTGATCATTGCTGGTTATCAGCAGGTCGTCTACATAAATGAGTACACAAAGTATGCGGGTATCCCTTTGGATAGTAAACAGGGAATAATCAGCGTGCGATTGTGTAAACCCATAGCGCCGCAAGGAGGCAGTCAGTTTAGAGAACCAACACCGCGGTGCCTGACGTAAGCCATAAAGTGAACGAAGTAAACGACACACCTTCCCAGGGGAGGAGGCCGAATATCCCTGTGGGAGGTGCATATATACTTCTTCGTGAAGGTCGCCGTGGAGGAAAGCATTATCTACATCCATCTGATGTAGTTCCGAATGACAAGATGCTGCGACAGCCAGGATGGTACGTACTGTGACCATTTTGGCTACCGGGGCAAATGTTTCACTGTAATCGACACCCTCCACCTGTCGATTTCCACACACAACCAAACGTGCCTTGTACCGTTCCACCGAGCCGTCACTTTTGTATTTGATTTTGTACACCCACTTGCAGAAAATAGCTTTCTTCCCTGGGGGCAAGTCTTGAATCTCCCACGTACCAGTGCGTTCAAGTGCTTGTATCTCACTACTCATAGCAGCCCTCCATTGTGGATCACGAACCGCTTCTCGAAAGCTAGTGGGCTCCTTAGTGGTGGAGATAGCTGCAAGAAAAGCTCGGTGCGGCACCGAAAAATGATCATATTTTATATAATGAGAGAGTGAATAAGGAGTACCTGATTCGGGTGCGAGAGAAGGGGCGACAACGGGGGGAGAGTTTATTTTAACCGTGTTCATCCGCACATCATAGTCCTTATGCCATACTGGTTCCTTACGTGGGCGATCGCTCCTTCTATTTTGACGTGAGGTAGTATTCGGATCAGGCTCCCCAAGGTTACTATTGGCTTCGTCCACTGTACTGGTCAAAGGAACATGAGACTCCGTATTCACTGGGACTTCCTCACTGCTTGGCGAGTTCCATGAAGACCCTCTCCTTCTGTTTCATACGTGTAATCATCCACATGCATATGATGTTCCCATGCACATGAACCATGTCCTGCTTCTTCATTAGTTTTAGTTTCGGTTATAGAGTCTTCAACTGCAAAGGGAAATTTTTCCACCCCTTTTGATAATATGCATATCCCAGAAAAACACACTTAACACCACGAGCAGCAAATTTATCACCTCCATTATTGGATTCATGTGCATAGCATAAACATCCAAATACTCGGAGTTGACTATATAGCGGTACTTTATTATATAGTAACTCATAGGGACTTTTATTATTTATCACAGGTGAAGGCAGACGATTGATCAAATACCCTGCGGTCAATACACATTCCCCCCAGAAATTAATGGGCAAATTTGCATGAAAGCGTAAAGTTCTAGCCATTTCCAGAATATGTCTATGCTTTCGTTCTACTCGCCCATTTTGTTGGGGGGTGTATACACAAGATGTTTGAAAAATGATCCCATGTGTCAAAAAATATTCCCGTAGACCCACAAATTCTTTTCCATTGTCACTTCTTACAACCTTCACATTTTTATTAAACTGTCGACTAGCCATGACAAAAAATTGTTTAAGAATATTTTTTACTTCACTTTTCTCTCGCATGAGATGGACCCACACGGCCCTAGAATAATCATCCACGATTGTCAAAAAATAACGAGCACCACACGTAGATAAAACTCGGTAAGGACCCCATATATCACAATGAATCAACTCAAAAGGTTCAGCAGCTCTAGCACTACTTGTAACAAAACTATCACGAGTGTGTTTGCCTCTCATACATGCATCACACGTTTTATTTTGTACGGAATTCAACAACGTTTTATTTAAACAACCAGATAAACGTAATATTTTTATCGATGGGTGTCCCAACCTCGAATGCCACAAATTTCCCAAATCCAAACTGCTCACCGCATTTGCCTGTGCCAGATCCCGGAAATAATAAACTTCCCCTCGTCATTCACCCACTCCAATCGGCATCCTCGTAGGTAGGTCCTGTATTACACATAAATCATTAGTAAAAAATATGTCACATTTCCGGTCATCTATTAATTTTCCCAATGAAATTAAATTGCATTTTAGCCCTGGAACAAGCAAAACATTTTTTAAATTCAAGCTTCCCGCAATTGCACTTGTCCCTACGTGCGTGGCCTTGGTGACTTCACCATTTGGCAACGTCACGCCTACTGGTGCTATGCGAACCACGTCCATCAGAATGCTTTTAGTTCCAGTCATATGATACGACGCTCCAGAGTCAAGAAGCCAGTCGTTTTGAACTTCCATACCTGATAATTTTTCTTCCGACGCCGTCATCTTACAAGTTTCCAACATCTTGAGGAAGGTCTGCCATTGAGCATCGGTAAAACCTGGCCTGTGTGCTGCCTCGTTTCCTTGCTCTGGATGAACCTCAGGCTGGAATTCACCCACATGCATTACCTGCGCACCTCCGCGACCAGTCCCTCGTCCGGTTCCTCCACGTCCCGAGCCTCCGCCATGGTTCGGTACTCCGCGACTCTGTCCTCCACGAGCTCTTCCTCCGCGGGCTCGACCTGGATTTTCATGCCACCATTCCGGGTAGATGCCGGTTCGGCGGAAGCAATTTTCAATCTCATGTCCGGCTTTGTGGCAGTAACTACACTTGCTACGTTCTTCCTTTCCAGCATCTGTCCCAGCGCGCGCAGCAAACGCCACCACCTCGCCTTTGTCCTCTCGTCCGCGAGTCAGGTTCTGATGGCGCTCCTCTTGTACCACCAAGTGATATACTTTGGTCAATGATGGCAGATCATCCGCCCCGAGTACATTAGAGCGCAAGGTCCCGAATGTCTCTCGGTCGAGACCCATCAAAAAATCGTGAATCTTCTCCGATTCCATGTATTTGAGGAACAATTTCCTAAGATCACAAGTACAACCATTGCACTTACATTGAGGAAAATTTCGTATTCCGTCATATTCCTCCCATAGCGTTTGAAGCTGACCAAAATACGTTGTAATCGGCTGTCCATGTTGTTTGCAACTCCGTATGAGTTCTTTCAGTTCATGGGTCCGCATAGCATCTCCCACAGAGAAACGGGCTTCCAAATCGTTCCAGAGATCACGCACGCTTTCCATATAAACGAGATTGGTTCTCAGCGACGGATCCACAGATGTCATTATCCAGCCGACTGCCATGGAGTTCACAGTCAGCCAATCCTCCAAGTCCCTCGGAATTGTTACGGGTCGTTCTATAGATCCGTCAAGGAATCCCATCTTCCTCTTAGCACGAAAAGCGTTTTTCATGGCCGTAGCCCATTCACGATAATTATTCTCTCCTTTGAGAATAACAGCACATATCATCATCCCCGGATGATCTGAACTTGATAAAAAATACGGAGATGACGGATCATTAATTTTCCGCCGTTCCGTAAGTTCACGATGACCGTCTCCACTTCCCTGCGTGGTCTCTGCGGCCATTGTGTCGTCGCCCGAGCGTGTTCGGCAGGTCCCGAATCACTGCTCTGATACCATGTAAAATATCGGAAGAAGATATGGAGAATTTTCGTTTATTCTTGCTTGTTCACAAAACGGAGATCAAGTCTCCATATGTACAAAACGCATGCTCCAGTTCTTCCCAAGAACGTAGCTGCCCATGCGTGACTTAAGGAGAAAGAAAAGGAAAGTAAATCAATCAAATACAACATTCCTATTCTACATTAACTACTACGTACAACGCACAGAACGTAACAAAAAAAAATATGTACATAAAATTGAAAATAATGTGACTCAACAATATTCGAACTTCAATCAGAAGTTCAGAACGTAACTTTTACGTTTTGAATTACTCTACTAAGAATCGCGCCCAATTCAAAACAAGACATATAACGAAATGAAACAAAGATAATAAATTCATTAATTTTCATCGCCTACTCCCACGAATTCATTTATCATTACTACTATAGCATACAGGCGTGTCACCGACTCACCGTACGTTGTCTACTGTTTCAATATATATAAGTATGGATCAAATAAAAAGTGTTTCCTAGGTGAAAATTAAGAACTAATCTTGGCCATTGATGTGAAGAAATGGATGGAAGAGATCAAATTTTAAGTGAAAAACGCAGTGACATTTTGGTAATTATGAAGAACTTTTATTGAAAAAATTGTGACAAATGTGTATCAGAATAGTCAAAAAATGCAGACGTAGAGCACAAAAATGCAATACAGTACAAAATAAAAAAGTGCACAAGTTAGAAAATTTTGACAATCTTTTTTTGACACGCATGAGTGCACTTTTAATGAGTAACTATTCACTTTATATATAGTAGAGCAAAAATCAATGGACAACCTTCCCGATTGAGTTTTTGGCTGAATTTTTGTGTGGATAAACTAGACTTGATGGAGAACATGCCATAAAAATTTCATCAAAAAATGTCACCGGGAAGGCGGCCAAACGCCACCGTCCGGACGGCGGTTCCTGTCCGGAATTCCGGACATGAATAAAATTCATATATAGTATACATATTTGCACATTTTTTAAAACCGTCTTTTGTGCTTAAAGTTCATCTAATCCATCCATTTTCAAGTGATCAAAGGCCAAGATTTGTTTTCACTTTTTATGGGAAGACTACTTTTTACTTGAATCAAGTGTGTTTTACTCCGTATTAATAATTAAAAAACTTTTGCCATCGCAAAAAAAGAACATTATTCAACACTATAAAATACATCAAAAAAAGGACAAAATTGTTGTTCTTGTTGAAATATAATTGAATTAGTCATCTTCCAACTATTCATGATTAGGAAGTATTACTATCACGATGAAACAGCCTGAATAAACCTTTACTCACGGTGTAAAGGAGACCAATTATCTATCTCAAGGTGATAGAAAGACCAAACAAGCAATTAAGCAATAAACCAGTTCTGTGTTTTATTCAGCCAAAGAGGAGTATAAATATCCCAAGTAATCCTACCTGTAAACTACTCCTTGCACAGCAAGGTTATCTACTTCTAATATAATTCTACTAAGCTAGTAAAGTAAATTAAACAATTAATTAAATAAACATAAACTAGTAGATGATTAGGAAACTTCAATAAGTCAAATAATCCTGGAGCCGTGCACTGCTTCTACGAGCCCGCTTACTATGTCGGCCCACGGGTCCTTCATTCTCATCATTGCCCTCCTCTCGAAGACGAACCTTGTCCTCAAGGTTAAAGTCGGGAAATTGCTGCTTGAGTACCTCTATTCGTTCCCAGGTGGCATCTTTAGGAGCAAGAGACACCCACTGAATTAAGGTTTCACGAATCACTCCTGATTTGGTTCGTATGTTACGGAAGTGGAGGACTCTCTCTGGTGCAAAAACAGGTTGGCCATCACCGGAGTATGGTGGTAGAGTTGCCGTTGACGGAATTGCATCCCCAATGTGTTTTTTAAGGAGAGAAACATGAAAGACAGGATGTATTCGTGATTCAGTTGGCAGCTCAAGACGATATGCCACATCTCCAAGTTTTTCCAATATTTTGTAAGGACCGAAGAATTTACATGCTAGCTTCTGACTAACCCGTTTAAACACTGACTGTTGGCGATAAGGTTGTAATTTTAAATACACATAGTCGCCTACTTGGTAGTGGACTTCACGTCTTCTGGTGTTAGCAAGTGGCTTCATTCGATTGGCCACTACAACAAGATTATGGCATAAAGTCTGAAGAACTTCTTCACGCGTTCACATTTGCTCGTCAACTTCTGCCAATGGTGATGTGCCATCGTTATAAGATCAGAGAACATGCGGGGGCCACCCATAAAAAGCCTCGAATGGTGTCATGTTTATTGAGCGGTGATAACTAGTGTTATACCACAGCTCTGCCCAGTTTAAAAAAATGCCACCTTGTTGGGTAATTGTGTACAAAGCATCTCAAATACTGCCCCAAACACCTATTCACCACTTCTGTTTGTCCATCTGTCACTGGATGGTAAGCGGAGCTCGTCTTCAAGACTTTGCCCTGCAAACGAAATAATTCCTTCCAAAATAAACTCATGAATATACCGTCCCGGTCACTGATAATAGTTTCAAGGAACCCATGTAATTTGACCACTTCGTGAATGAACACACCAGCGACTTCCTTGGCAGTAAATGGGTGAGAGAGAGACATAAAGTGGGCATACTTTGTGAATCAGTCCACCACGACCAGAACTACATCTCTCCCTTGAGACTTCCGAAGGCCTTCAAGGAAGTCCAAACTTATATCAGCCCACACGGCAGTGGGAATGGCCAATGGATTTAATAAACCAGCCGGGGAATGGCCAATGGATTTAATAAACCAGCTGGGGATAGAGAATCTGATTTGGAGCGTTGACATACTTGACATTCACGAACATATTTATTAACGGCGGCCCTTATACCATGTAACACCCTGGCCCCGCAGGACCCGAGGTAGTTACTCCAGACCTCTAGACCTCTATTACTGTCCTCACAAACCGCTACTAGCCTTTTCCGCGCACTTTGTCCTCACTCGTGCACGCCCTGAGAAACTTCCCAGGGGGTCACCCATCCCAAGACTACTCCAGTGTGAGCACGCTTAACTTTGGAGTTCTTGGGTAATGAGCTCCCTTAAAAGGAGATGCACCTTTGTTGGTATGAGTAGTACTATTAATCCATTTATATTAAATCTCAAGTGTTACAATCACCCCCACTCAGGATCAGAATGTCCTCGTTGCGCCCTTGAACCAATCTCAAATCTCAATCAAATCCCAGAATCTTCCCCCGCTAAGTGCCCGCCCGATATCCAACGGGTCATCACACTGTCGCGGGGTTGCTCTGATACCACCTGTAACACCCCGGCCCCGCAGGACCCGAGGTAGTTACTCAAACCACTAGTACTGTCCTCACAAACCGCCACTAGCCTTTTCCGCGCACTTTGTCCTCACTTTGTCCTCACCCATCCCAAGACTACTCCAGTGCGAGCACGCTTAACTTTGGAGTTCTTGGGTAATGAGCTCTCTTAAAAGGAGATGCACCTCTGTTGGTATGAGTAGTACTATTAATCCATTTATATTAAATCTCAAGTGTTACATATCAGCCCAAGAAAACACTTGATTTAATCGTTGAGGAACCATGGAATTCCTTAAGAAGTTGCTTTCGTAAATCATCATTTTCTAGAACCAAGACACGCCCCTTGTACACAATGCAGCCATTACGAAGTGAGTAATCTGATTTTTCTAGAGGCTGACTTTGAAGTTCATTGCAAATTTTCTGTAAATAGGGATCAATTTTCGTTTTCTGGCGCAATTCACCCCAAAGAGCCCATAAGGGTCCTGAGATGGCAGTAACTTTTGCTGTATCATCTATCCTCTTATCATCACGGTGAGACAGTGCATCAGCGGCTCTATTGGTGATCCCTGGCTTATATATGTTGGTGTAATCAAACCCCAATAGTGTGCCTATCCATTTTTGTTGCTCCAGAGTAGTAATCCGTTATTCCAATAGATGGCGCAAACTCTTTTGATCTGTACAAATGGTGAAGTGTCGGCCTAAGAGATATGTGCGCCATGTTCGTACTGCCTATAAGACCGCTAACATCTCCTTGGCATAAGTTGACCAAACCTGTTTTGCCGGATCTAAAACCTTACTCATAAACGCAATGGGGTGTCCGTTCTGAGACAAGACTGCCCCAACTCCTACTCTAGAGGCATCAGTTTCAATTACAAACTCGGAAATGAAATCAGGTAAAGCAAGCACTGGAGTGGAA